ACAAAAATTAGCTGGGTGTGGTGGCAGGCACCTGTAATCCCAGCTATTACAGAGGCTGAGGCAGAAGAATCGCTTTGACCTGAGAGGCGGAGGTTGTAGTGAGCCAAGGTCGCACCACTCTCTGGCAGACAGAGCAAGAATTCATCTCAAAAAAAAAAGAACAAGAGATGAGGTTCCAGTCCTCAATCGGGGAGCTTGCAGCCTATTCTCTACATTTTGCTTGTAGCTACTGATGAGTAACTCGTCTTTTTTACAACATTTCAATTAACTAAAGCCTACTTCTTTCCTATTCTCTCTACCTTAAAATAAATCACACAAGTTAGACTTACTTACTTGAGGCTGGATTCGATGTGAAATATCTGGTCATTGTCCGATTCAGAGATGGTACTCTCCATAAACAGAATACAAGGACATTTGCAGCTATAATACCTACAAAATAAATATTTATAATTTAAGGAGGTTAAAAATAAAAGCAAAAATATCTGACCTAAAGTACCCTCTTATAAGATGTCTACCACAATTATGTAAGAGTACTGTATACTTGGGGGATAGGGGGTGGGCTAAGAAAAGCAAGTGAAATCAGTGCTTTTAAAGTATCAGTACTGCCAAGAGTTGGTAAAGTCACAGAATTCCTGGAAAACTGCAGATGCTCTAGGAGCTAACTTCCTTTCCCCAGATCCATATTTTACTTCTTCAGAACAGTTTACTCTTCTCAATAATAATGGGATCAATAATTTATTGTCTATAACAGCCAAGCCAAAGACAGAAGTAAGACACAGAATTAAGTTCTTTGGCAAAGAGTAGAAAAGCTAACATTACTTCTTTTTCCTCAGGGCATGATGCTTCTGAAACTTACTGCCAGCTTATGGAAACATATGAGTCATCTGTGTAGGTGAAGGTCAATGTGTTTGAGGAAAACACTTATTTGACAGAAATTCAGGGATAATTTAGAAAAAATCTGCAACTGCTTCTGAAGTATGTTTACATGTGAAATTTCCTCTTTCTGTAGGTGTTGATGTTGTCAGTACCACTAAGAAACTGAGTAGGTTTGTTTAATAGGATTAACTTGTTACATTTTAGAGAAGAAATTAAGTTATTCCTGAAAACTAGAAACTTTAAAAATATATCAATTTTATGAATTGCCACAACTCCTTCACATACAGGTATTCATCTACTGTTAAGAATTTAGCC